ACAGTCTGCGCGTCGTTAGGCAAGCGTGCTCTAAGGTCAGGACAGTCTGCGCGTCGTTTCTGTTCTGCTTTCCAAACATGAGGCTTAGCTGGTCCTCAGAATCAGATACACAGAAACCAAGGTTGGCTCCCATGCCTTCCAAAAGACTCATCTAGCACCTTCCTTTGGAAAGCTTTTCTCTCACCAGCTTTATTGAGATATCAACAACATAAAGACATGGAGAAGGTGTTGGATGTTGTATGGCTCAATATGGAAGCCAGAAAAAAGTAGAAGGGGGCGGGGTGGAGTGGGGGGTACCCTGAGTTGTCTTGCTTCTTGCCCCCTGGTCACTCACTGTGGACATTCCTGTAAACCTCATGCTGCTAATGATGGTGATGAAAAAAGTTACCTTTGGGTCGTTTCGAAGAGAGCCACCGGGAAAATAACGTCAGTCTGGCCTGCAGAGTCAGCTTCTGAAAGTGGACCCTCTGGAGGCACTGAAACAAGAGACCACGGTAGCTTATTAGCTTCTTCTGCAATACAAAGCTGCACATTCTCACTGACCACAACCGCTGGAAGAGCAGGATGCAGGTTGAGGGGTGAGATTATTGCCTTAAATATCCCATTAGAAATATGGTTCTGAGGCCGGGCGCGGTGGCTCAAGCCTGTAATCCCAGCACTTTGGGAGGCCGAGGCGGGTGGATCACAAGGTCAAGAGATCGAGACCATCCTGGTCAACATGGTGAAACCCCGTCTCTACTAAAACTACAAAAAATTAGCTGGGCATGGTGGTGCGTGCCTGTAATCCCAGCTACTCAGGAGGCTGAGGCAGGAGAATTGCCTGAACCCAGGAGGCGGAGGTTGTGGTGAGCCGAGATCGCGCCATTGCACTCCAGCCTGGGTAACAAGAGCGAAACTCCGTCTCAAAAAAAAAAAAAAAAGAAATATGGTTCCACAGACTAAAAGGAACAATTCACTGCAGAAATGCACTGCAAATTTTTATAGCTATAGCCTCCAACAGCAAGCAAAAAGCGTCCCAAAAAACAAAACAAAACAAAAAAACATGTCTTAGAAACTGAGGCAATTTTAATAACTTAAAACAGTGCAGCTTCAAAAACGTGACTATGAAACTAAAACATAAAATTGTGTAAAATTTAAATATAGAAATATACTATGACTCATCTCTGGTCAACCAAGAGGTTAATTTCTTTTTTGTTTTTGAGATAGAGTTTTGCTCTATCACCCAGGCTGAAGCGCAGTGGTGCGATCTCAGCTCACTGCAACCTCTGCCTCCCAGATTCAGACGATTCTCCTGCCTCAGCCTCCCAAGCAGCTGGGACTACAAGGTAACCACCACGATGCCCAGCTAATTTTTACATTTTAGTAGAGACGGAGTTTCACCATGTTGCCCAAGCTGATCTCAAACTCCTGACCTCAGGTAATCCGCCTGCCTCAGCCTCCCAAAGTGCTGGGATGGCAGGCATGAGTAACTGTGATTGGCCTCTTCTTTTTGTTCTTTAAATGGGGTCTCACTGGAGTGCAGTGGCTATTCACAGCACAGACTATGGGCAGGTAATACAGCGTCCAAGAAGAGGTAAATATTTTTGTCAAGCCAAGAAAACAATTTTTCCAGGCATCCTGTATTTTCTTCAGTCTTCAAGAAGGAAAACGTCGGCCAGGCGCTGTAATCCCGACTTTGGGAGGTCGAGGCAGGCAGATCACCTGAGGTCAGGAGTTCAAGACCAGCCTGGCCAACATGGTAAAACCCCTGCCTCTAGTAAAAATACAAAAATTAGCCAGACATGGTGGCATGCACCTGCAATCCCAATTACTCAGGAGGCTGAGGCAGGAGAATCGCTTGAAACCAGGAGGTGGAAGTTGCAGTGAGCTGAGATTGCACCACTGCACTCCAGAATGGGGGTCAGAGCAAAACTCCCTCTCAAAAAATAAAAAAAATTTTAAAAAGCCATTACAACAAAAACACTGCAATAAAAGTAAACGTATTAAAAAACAAAATCTTAGCACTCAACAACTCAGTACCGACTGTACCCAACAAAATCCCAACACAACCAAAGAATTTATGTGTCCCCAATATTTTATTTTATTTTATTTATTTATTTTTGAGACAGAGTCCTGCTCTGTCACTGAGGCTGGAGTGCAGTGGTGCAATCTCAGCTCACTACAACCTCTGCCTCCTGGGTTCATGTGATTTTCCCTGACCCAGCCTCCCCAGCAGCTGGGATTACAGGTGTGCACCACCACACCAGCTATTTTTGTATTTTTAGTAGAGACGGGGTTTCACCACATTAGTCAGGCTAGTCTCGAACTCCTGACCTCAGATGATCCACCCACCTCAGCCTCCCAAAGTGCTGGGATCACAGGCATTAGCTCCCAATATTTTACCACAAAGAAACATGACCTGTAGCTGACAACACCTATGTTCTTCCAGCTGTGTCAACATTCAGGGTGAGGCAGACTCTGTAGGATATTACCCCAAAGTAAACTCATTCCCCAACTAGTAACTTTCTAACTAACTATTCAAATATCCCTATAAAGACCACAATAGACTGAAAAAACGTGCTATGAAAAAGATATTAAAATCAGGCGGAAAGCCCGGGCGCGGTGGCTCAAGCCTGTAATCCCAGCACTGTGGGAGGCCGAGGCGGGTGGATCACGAGGTCAAGAGATCGAGACCATCCTGGTCAACATGGTGAAACCCC